AATAAAATACTTACGATCTGGTTATTATAAAAAGGTAAATTTAATTAGATGATTTTTTAATAGGAATTATTTTGTGTTGTAAATTACTATATGATGCTTACTTGCTAGTTATTATAAAAAAGTAAAGTTAAATCATTTAATAGATGATGTTTTAATGGAAATTGTTTTGTGTTGTAAAAGTTAATTTATAGTATAATACTTACATGCTGTTATTATAAAAAAATATTTATTTGATTAGATGATGTTTTAATAGAAATTATTTTAGGTTGTAAAAGTAAATTTATAGTATAATACTTACCAACTGGTTATTATAAAGAAATAAAAAATAAAATTATTTGATTAGATGATGTTTTAATAGAAATTATTTGTGTTGTAAAAGTAAATTTATAATATAATACTTACGAACTGGTTATTATAAACAAATAAAAAATAAATTTATTTAATTAGATGATGTTTTAATATAGTTTATTTTGTGTTGTAAAATTTAATTTATGATATAATACTTACATGCTGTTACTATAAAGAAATAAAAAATAAAATTATTTGATTAGATGATGTTTTAATAGAAATTATTTTGTGTTGTAAAAATAATTTATAATATACAGTAATACTTACTCTCTAGTTATTATAAAAAAGTAAAATAAATTTATTTAATTAGATGATGTTTTAATAAAGTTTATTTTGTGTTATAAGAGTTAATTTATAATATAATAATTACCCTCTGGTTATTATAAAAAAGTAAAAAATTGAATTTATTTAGATAATGTTTTAAATAAAATTAATTTGTGTAAAAAAGTAAATTAATAATATGATACTTACCCTCTGGTTATTATATAGAAGGGCAAAAATTTAATTGATTGCCTTAATAGAAATTATTAGTATTGCAAAATAAAATCACAATATAATAAATAATACTTACCCTCTGGTTATTATAAAAAGTAAAATTTAATTTATTTAATTAGATGTTTTAATAGAAATTATTTTGTGTAAAAATAATAATATAATACTCACTCTCTGGTTATTATAAAAAGTAAAATTAAATTCATTTAATTAAATAATATTTCGATAGAAATTATTTTGTAAATTTATAATATAATAATACAATGCCTACCCTCTGGTTATTATAAAAAAGTAAATTTGAATTGATTTAATTAGATGATGTTTTAATAAAAATTATTTTGTGTAAAATAATAATATAATACTCACCCTCTGGTTATTATAAAAGTAAAAATTGAATTAATGATATCTTAGTAGAAATCATTTTTGTATTGTAAAGATAAATTAATAATATAACACTTACCAACTGATTATTATAAAGAAATAAAATTAAATAGATTTGATTAGATGATATTTAATAGAAATTATCGTGTTATAAAAGTAAATTAATAGTATAAGAAAGCAAGTTTAATTAGATGATGTTTTAATAGAAATTATTTTATGTTGTAAAAATAAATTAATAATATAATACTCACTCTCTGATTAGTTATTATAAAAAGCAAAAAATAAATTCATTTAATTAGATGATGTTTTAATAAAAATTATTTTGTAAATTTATAATTTAATAATACAATGTCTACCCTCTGGTTATTATAAAAAAAAATTTATTTAATTAGATGATGTAAAAATTGAATTAATGATATCTTAGTAGAAATCATTTTTGTATTGTAAAGATAAATTAATAAATAATACAACACTTACCAACTGATTATTATAAAGAAATAAAATTAAATTGATTTGATTAGATGATATTTAATAGAAATTATTGTGTTATAAAAGTAAATTAATAGTATAAGAAAGCAAGTTTAATTAGGTGATGTTTAACAGAAATTATTTTGTGTTGTAAAAGTTAATTTATAGTATAATACTTACATGCTGTTATTATAAAAAAAAATTTATTTAATTAGATGATGCTTTGATAAAGTTTGCAAAAGTTAATTCATAATATAATACTTACTACCTATTATTATAAATAAAAGAATAACTTTATTTAATTAAATGAATAAAACTATTTAAGTTGATTTATAATATTTACCATTGTAGAATTTTGCTAAGTATTATTTTATTATAAAGCAAATTATTAAATTGAGATGTAAATTAAAATTTTAAAAAAGCTATAAGAAAAAAAAATACCTTCATTCATTTTTTTTTTGTATGAAAAAAGCAATGCAACTTTTTTTTGTTCTTGTTGTGTGAATTGTAACTATGTGAAATTACAAGACGCCTTGTGGTGTGCGACATTCTAAAAACTAATTAATGTCGTATATTGATTGGTTGTGATTTTTTTTGTGATCTGCACACCACGTACAAAATTTCCGAATTTATGTTTTAGGGAAAATCAAGATTTATATGAAATGTGTAACGTTGATCACAACGAACAAAAAATTTAATACCACTACTACTGTCATCTCATTCTTATTCTGCTGCTATTGTTAGTGTTACTGTTATTGCTACTACTGCTTTTAATGTGCCATTATTATATCTGACGCCATTACATTAGCCCTACAAAAAATTTAGATAAAAGATGATTCACTAATTATTTGCAAAATATGTATGAATATACTTATTTTACAATTAAAACATTCTTATTTTTACAGTAATAGGAATGTAGATATCCTAATTATACACTTAAAATATACCTCTGAATTTTAATAATTCTTAAAAC